ATGCAGCTGTGATGTAACATCCTGGTTAGCATGTGGGAGATAACTGGTGAGGGGTTGGGGGCCGTTACTTCTGGTACAACCAGATTATTATATAGTCTGTAGTTCCAAACTCGTGTCTCCGGCTGACAAAAATAGGCTCCTGTTTCGAAAACGAACTCTGTCTGATTAAACCAGATCGTTTTTAACAACCGGAGTCTGAGTTATAGATAACTATTCCATAACTGGTCTACAAGATTACCTGAAGATGCTCATGGCAGTTAAAACACACAACTTGATGTGGATCATTGAGTAAACAGAGGGAGGGAAGGAGGTGCGGGGGGGTGGAGCACATTCCTCAATTCACCCTGCACAGCCTATGCTACACCAGAAAGAGAGGACAGAGAACAAGAGACACAGACTCTAGAAGGATTAAAGTTTAAAGACTCACAAGTTTAAGACTAGGCTACAGCTTTTCACAAGAGTGATAATAAGTTTTTCACACAAAGCTTTAGCAAAGATTTTAAAAAGTTTAATTTTGGAACTCACTCTTATTTTGCTGCATGCTGTTAAAGGTAATTTATAATGCTGTTTAATTTTTACTCACTGTTATACTATTTTACTGCTTTACTGTAATTATTTCAATTTATTCTTTACTTACATTTACATTTATTCATTTAGCTGACGCTTTTATCCAAAGCGACTTACAATTGCTATACATGTCAGGTCTCATGCCTCTGGAGCAACGAGGGGTTAAGTGTCTTGCTCAGGGACACATTGGTGGATGGGTCACAGTGGGGAATTGAACCTGGGTCTCTCACACCAAAGGCAGGCATCTTATGGATACACCCCTCTTATCAGTTACATACACATTTTTGGGGGCGGGACTGGAAGTAGCTTTCAAAATTAATTTGATGGAATGTCATCTACAGTGGGTACGGAAAGTATTCAGACCCCTTTAAATTTGTCACTCTTTGTTTCATTGCAGCCATTTTCCAAAAATCAAAAAAGTTCATTTTATTTCTCAGTAATGTACACTCAGCACCCCATCTTGACAGAAAAAAACAGAAATGTAGAAATTTTGCAAATTTATTAAAAAAGAAAAACTGAAATATCACATGGTCATAAGTATTCAGACCCTTTGCCGTGACACCATATTTAACTCAGGTGCTGTCTATTTCTTCTGATCATCCTTGAGATGGTTCTACACCTTCATTTGAGTCCAGCTGTGTTTGATTATACTGATTGGACTTGATTAGGAAAGCCACACACCTGTCTATATAAGACCTTACAGCTCACAGTGCATGTCAGAGCAAATGAGAATCATGAGGTCAAAGGAACTGCCTGAAGAGCTCAGAGACAGAATTGTGGCAAGGCACAGATCTGGCCAAGGTTACAAAAAATTCTGCTGCACTTAAGGTTCCTAAGAGCACAGTGGCCTCCATAATCCTCAAATGGAAGACGTTTGGGACGACCAGAACCCTTCCTAGAGCTGGCCGTCCGGCCAAACTGAGCTATCGGGGGAGAAGAGCCTTGGTGAGAGAGGTAAAGAAGAACCCAAAGGTCACTGTGGCTGAGCTCCAGAGATGCAGTCGGGAGATGGGAGAAAGTTGTAGTAAGTCAACCATCACTGCAGCAATCCACCAGTCGGGGCTTTATGGCAGAGTGGCCCGACGGAAGCCTCTCCTCAGTGCAAGACACATGAAAGCCCGCATGGAGTTTGCTAAAAAACACCTGAAGGACTCCAAGATGGTGATAAATAAGATCCTCTGGTCTGATGAGACCAAGATAGAACTTTTTGGCCTTAATTCTAAGCGGTATGTGTGCAGAAAACCAGGCACTGCTCATCACCTGTCCAATACAGTCTCAACAGTGAAGCATGGTGGTGGCAGCATCATGCTGTGGGGGTGTTTTTCAGCTGCAGGGACAGGACGACTGGTTGCAATCGAGGGAAAGATGAATGCGGCCAAGTACAGGGATATCCTGGACGAAAACCTTTTCCAGAGTGCTCTGGACCTCAGACTGGGCCGAAGGTTTACCTTCCAACAAGACAATGACCCTAAGCGCACCGCTAAAATAACGAAGGAGTGGCTTCACAACAACTCCGTGGCTGTTCTTGAATGGCCCAGCCAGAGCCCTGACTTAAACCCAATTGAGCATCTCTGGAGAGACCTGAAAATGGCTGTCCACCAACGTTTACCATCCAACCTGACAGAACTGGAGAGGATCTGCAAGGAGGAATGGCAGAGGATACCCAAATCCAGATGTGAAAAACTTGTTGCTTTCCCAAAACGACTCATGGCTGTATTAGATCAAAAGGGTGCTTCTACTAAATACTGAGCAAAGGGTCTGAATACTTATGACCATGTGATATTTCAGTTTTTCTTTTTTAATAAATTTGCAAAAATTCTACATTTCTGTTTTTTTCTGTCAAGATGGGGTGCTGAGTGTACATTACTGAGAAATAAAATGAACTTTTTTGATTTTTGGAAAATGGCTGCAATGAAACAAAGAGTGAAAAATTTAAAGGGGTCTGAATACTTTCCGTACCCACTGTATATTTCTCTCTATGATATGGATTATTTTGATTTTGCTAATGTGTTACTAATCAATGTAATCCTAAAGGAGTTCAAACTATACTATGTTGCCTTATGTCTGCACATTTCTTTTTAGCAATTAGATTGTTGTTGAAGTTCATTTTCCATCGGGATGCTACACTAAAAGAAACCAGCTTACTATTAGAAAATGATACAAATGTAATTTCCCACTCTGCATAGCTTATTGTTAATGCTCATAATATAAAGCTCCCATGCTTCTGTACCAAGAAGACCATTTAATGTTCAACTGTAGACAAACGTACAGGCAGTGTTGGGGAGTAACTAGTTACATGCAGTTTCGTCCAGTAATTTAATTACAAAATAAATGTTATCTGTTACAGTTAGGCCTACTGGAAAAATATGTAATTAAATCACAATTGCTTATTAAAATATTTTTGATTACATTGGGGGTTACGTCAGAATATTTTCTGTATACAGGTGCTGGTCATAGAATATCATCAACAAGTAGATTTATTTCAGTAATTCCATTAAAGTGAAACTTGTATAATGTTTACATTCATTCCACACAGACTGATATATTTCAAGTGTTCATTCCTTTTAATTTTGATGATTTGATGGGGCGGCTGTGGCTCAGGAGTTAGAGCGGGTTGGCCGTTAATCGGAAGATCGGCGGTTCAATGCATGTCAACGTGTCCTTGGGCAAGATACTGAACCCTGAATTGCCCCTGGCGCCTGTTCCACCAGTGTATGAATGTGTGTGAATGTTGCCATAGTCTATTAACAAATAAATGTAAAAACACACTCGGTGTAATATTTAAACAGGTAAACCCCACAATTAATTGAGTTTTTGCAGCCTTATAAAAGACCAGGTCCAACGCTAACAAAGTTTCCGGAAGGACAGGCTCTTGCAGATCCCATCCACTAGATGGTGCCATAGCCTTTGTAATGTGCTACAAATACACTAGAATATAAGCAGAAATTTTGAACTAACTTGAAGTGCTGTAGTTAAATTGCACAAACTTTTAATTTGCAGATTATATAGAATATTAACTGAACAAAACATAATACAACCTTGTTCATAACATTTTGACATCGTATTAATTTTTGTGTGAGTTTTACAGGCCCTTGTCTTGTCACAATAGGCCTTGTGCTGAGTGTTGAACCATTTGATGTGTATGTGGTCATGGCGGTGTGTTCGGTTTGTGAGATTGAGTGTGATGTAGTTTTAGTGTATAAACAAGTTCAAAGCAGACCAACGGAAGCAGTGATAGCTGCCATTAACTTGGCCAAGTTGTCACTGCACTTTCCTTGAAGCATCTAGTTTATTGCAAAGGTATTAGCAACATCTTTGAGGTTGTACATAATGATGTGCTCCTCCAGGGCAACAGCGACATCCACAATTTCTTTTGCCAGAAACTCTTGCTTGCTTCCAACTTCCTCTGTAACAATGAGAAGGCCAATGTTCACTCCTTTTGTAGCCTGATGAGCCTTTTGTGCAAATTTGATGATTATCTTACTTTTTGGAGATAGGTTAAAATTTGAAACTGTTTTGCCTGAAGGAGTTCATTGAACACTTGTCAAACTCATTCAAAGATCCTTTTTATTTCACAACCGTAAATGTTTTGTGATTTGGAGGGGGAATATGATGGACTTATTTTTCACGCTTCCTTTTGGTTTGATTTACAAAAGACATCATACTAACAAAGCTAAAGTACTGTTGTTTTTTTTAAGTATAAACGTCTCAGCTGACATAACTTACATTAAGTTGATTAATATCTTGGATAAATATATTCATATATTGCTTAAAATATTACCTTCCTTTTAGATTTTTGTGTAAAATTTATTTTTGTACTTTCAAGTATTTTTAGTTAGTTTAGTCAACACTTTTAATGGCAAAAGGGCTGGAACATGTACTTCTTGTATTGAAAATAATCTCTGGTTCCACACTCCAGTCTAGTTGGTGGCGGTAACGCACCTCTCGGCTAGTTTGCCAACTGCCAATAAAAAAAGAAGTTTGAGTGAAACATTCAAGCCTGATGGCGACGAGCTTATTGACGACGTTGTGCACTGGTGACGGAGTCTAAAGTGATTCCATTCACAACTACAGTCCGTCTAGTTATTTTTAAGTTATTTTTTTCTATTTTTGTGTCTATAGTAGCATTCTCACGACCCCCATGGGAACAGACCGACCCCCGGGTTAAGAACCACTGCTGTAGCGCATCGTTAGAGTAGAGAGTCATGTTTCCTATCAGTCCTTCAATGAATGTGTCCGGTCCTCCATGCAGGTGTGTGTGCTGGGCTGCAGCTTCATGCCTCCATCTAGTGGACTGATAGTAGAAGTCCAGCAGCTGATGGCAGCTTCCTCTGCCTCACGCTGCTGTCTGACTGCATTCAGCTGCACTGATATGAAACAGAAACTAGCAGCCAATCAGTGGAGGAGCAGCTGATCTTTTTCCAGGAGAATGATGGAAAGGAGGATTTGAGTTGATGTGCAGATGAATGATTTGTGTTTCCTCTCCAGGTGAAAGTGGATGTGAGTTGAGCAGCATGAGTCAGTGTGAGGACAGAGAGGAGGGAGTCCCTCCCTCTAAAAGCACTCTGTGTGGGGAACATGACAGCCAGACCAAAGCTCAGAGGTGAGATGAGGATCTCTAACTGTCCAGGACTCAAATCACTCCACCATCATTATTCACTCTCAAACCTCTGTGTGTGTTGTGTTGAAGCCCAGAGCAGCAGCAGGGACCAGACTCTGCTGGACCTGGACCTGGACCTGGACCTGAGCCCAGCTGTGTGTCCTTCAAGAGTGACCGGTCAAAGGGTGGTCTCATTGATTTTAAGCGAGGACATGTGTCTGACAGACAGTGAGTATGTGTCAGTATTAAACAGCGTTGGCCAATCAGAGCTAAATGTTCATGTCTCCCTCCTCATGTTGCTCACTGCTGATGTTTGTCCTCATTAAATCCAGTCTGACCAGTTGTCCTTCTAATGTCCATGTTCTCCTAGAATGATGATGAAGGTCAGAGCCAGATTAGGATTAAAGGACAGGTCCACATGTTTTCCAGTCTGTCCCTAAACAACACTGACATGCCCATATGTACAGTGATTATGTGCATATATGTTAGAATTAACTTGTTTATTATACTTTAGGTTGCATTTTCTTGTTATATTGTAGAGACTGTTCATGTACTGCCCCCAGGTGAGTTTGCAGTAAACTGTTGAACTGAAGCTACGGTTGAGATCTTTCCATCACTATCTGAACACTTTTTATGGCATGGAATCAATTTTTTTTGTTGCAAAGTTTGAAACTTTTTACATTGCGTTGAAAATGAATTTTTGAAGTTACGAGATCTTTTGAAAATGAGTTGGAACACTATGTTATTCCATGCCTGCAGTTTTGAATGTAGAAAAGCAGACACGTGGCTTTTTCAGCTGAAAGTATTTTTTGTTAAGTAAATGCTAATTTTGACATAACACTTGCAGTCATTTATGATTCGTGTTAATTCTGAGGAACTGGCAGGATGCATTTATTGTGAAAGACTTAAAGACATGCTACATTCTGTCGCTGAGTTAACAAAGCCTCAATAGCAGTAGCCTACAGACAACAACTCATAAAATTGCAGGTTATGCAGGTATTTAGCTAACTGATTGGTTTCATGTGGCTTAATCGATAGATATAATTGAGTATTGTCTGTATAACAATAAAAGATTATGGAGTATTTCCTGACAATATTGCCTAAAGGAATAGGCTGAAAAGGATTGGTCCAAGCACAGAACTTTGTGGAACTACCAATTTGCACTGGATAGATAGTAGCAATAATTTAAAAAATAATAATCTTAATAATATCAATATAATATAGTCAATAATAAAATTATATTACTCTCTCTCTTACCCTACCTGCCATAGCCGCCCACCTGGTTTCTGAGGTTTCTGACTATTAAAAGGACGTTTGCCTTTAGCCATTATTACCAAGTGCTTGCTTATGATGGGAATTGTTGGGTCTGTGTAAGTAACATTTGAAAAAGTACGGTCTAGACCTGCTGTATGTGAAAAGTGCAATGAGATAACTTCTGCAATGAATTGACACCATAAAATGAGACGGAATTGAATGAAGACCTTGAGAGACTAAACCCAGTAAATTAAAATCTGCACAATAATTTGGACTGTTGATTCACAGTGGAATTGGAACACTTTAATGTCAGGGGAAACCATCGGATTTAATATCGAAATCAACACTTTAAGTTAAAGAGCTAACTCTTCATGATTCCTCCACAGAGTCCACCAGGAGAGCTCAGAGGTTCCCAGTGGTCAGTCTGCCCAGCAGCATCAAACACACCTGGACTCCATATTTATGGTCTGTACATGTACAACAACTACTTTTCCATCTATTCTGTTCACAATAATCTCCACGCTGCACTTTTTAGACCAGTGGATTGTCAGTCTGTCCAACATGGATCTGATGTTTGGTTCCATGATTTGACTTTGATTGTGTCCTTCATATAATATTCTGTTCCAGCTGCTGGAGGACAACATTGTCACTTTTGTGAAGAACGAGCTGAAGAAGATCCAGAAGGGTCTGAGTTCAGATTACCCAGAATGCTTAGAGAGTCAGAGGGAGGATGAGGAGGTGTTGGACGGTGAGGAGGAAGAGCAGAGGAGGAGCAGCAGAGAGGCATTTCTGAAGATCACAGTGCACTTCATGAGGAGAATGAAGCAGGAGGAGCTGGCTGAGCGTCTGCAGAGCAGTAAGAGGATTTCTCTAAAGATTTAAGCTGCTGGATAAACTGGACATTTACTGATGGCTCACAGAAGGAGGGAAACATGGTTAGATAAGGAAATGAAACTGTCACATGGACTTTATCAATCACTGATTGATCTGTTTTGTTGTGTCTTCATTCAGGAAGTCTCTGCAGTTTGTCAGCGTAAACTTAAATCTAAGCTGAAGAAGAAGTTCCAGTGTGTGTTTGAGGGGATTGCTAAAGCAGGAAACCGAACCCTTCTGAACCAGATCTACACAGAGCTCTACATCACAGAGGGAGGGACTGCAGAGGTCAATGATGAACATGAGGTCAGACAGATTGAAACAGCATCCAGGAAACCAGACAGACCAGAAACACCATCAGACAAGAAGACATCTTTAAAGCCTCACCTGGAAGAGATGAACCAATCAGAACAGTGATGACAAAGGGAGTGGCTGGCATTGGGAAAACAGTCTTAACACAGAAGTTCACTCTGGACTGGGCTGAAGACAAAGCCAACCAGGACATACAGTTCACATTTCCATTCACTTTCAGAGAGCTGAATGTGCTGAAAGAGAAAAAGTACAGCTTGGTGGAACTTGTTCATCACTTCTTTCCTGAAACCAAAGAAGCAGGAATCTGCAGGTTTGAAGAGTTCCAGGTTGTGTTCATCTTTGACGGTCTGGATGAGTGTCGACTTCCTCTGGACTTCCACAACAATGAGGTCCTGACTGATGTCACAGAGTCCACCTCAGTGGATGTGCTGCTGACAAACCTCATCGGGGGAACCTGCTTCCCTCTGCTCGCCTCTGGATAACCACACGACCTGCAGCAGCCAATCAGATCCCTCCTGGGTGTGTTGACATGGTGACAGAGGTCAGAGGGTTCACTGACCCACAGAAGGAGGAGTACTTCAGGAAGAGGTTCAGAGATGAAGCAGGCCAGCAGAATCATCTCCCACATCAAGACATCACGAAGCCTCCACATCATGTGCCACATCCCAGTCTTCTGCTGGATCACTGCTACAGTTCTGGAGGAGGTGTTGAAGACCAGAGAGGGAGGAGAGCTGCCCAAGACCCTGACTGAGATGTACATCCTCTTCCTGGTGGTTCAGTCCAAACTGAAGAACATCAAGTATGAGGAGGAGCTGAGACAGATCCACACTGGACTCCAGAGAGCAGGAAGATGATTGAGTCTCTGGGAAAACTGGCTTTTGAGCAGCTGCAGAAAGGAAACCTGATCTTCTATGAATCAGACCTGACAGAGTGTGGCATCGATATCAGAGCAGCCTCAGTGTACTCAGGAGTGTTCACACAGATCTTTAAGAGGAGAGGGGCTGTACCAGGACAAGGTGTTCTGCTTCATCCATCTGAGCGTTCAGGAGTTTCTGGCTGCTCTTCATGTCCATCTGACCTTCATCAACTCTGGTGTCAATCTGCTGGCAGAAGAACAATCAACCTCCCAGAAGTCTGAAACAAGAAAAGATGAATCTGCAGTGACACAGTTCTACCAGAGTGCTGTGGACAAGGCCTTAAAGAGTCCAAATGGACACCTGGACTTGTTCCTCCGTTTCCTCCTGGGACTTTCACTGCAGACCAATCAGAATCTCCTAAGAGGTCTGCTGACACAGACAGGAAGTGGTGCAAAAACCAACCAGGTAGCAGTCGAGTACATCAAGAAGAAGATCGAAGAGACTCCCTCTGCAGAGAAAAGCATCAATCTGTTCCACTGTCTGAATGAACTGAAGGATGTTCTCTAGTGGATCAGATCCAACAGTCCCTGAGTTCAGGAAGTCTCTCCACAGATAAACTCTCTCCTGCTCAGTGGTCAGCTCTGGTCTTCATCTTACTGTCATCAGAAAAAGATCTGGAGGTGTTTGACCTGAAGAAATACTCTGCTTCAGAGGAGGCTCTTCTGAGGCTGCTGCCAGTGGTCAAAGCCTCCAGGAAAGCTCTGTAAGTGGGATTTATTCATCAATTAATACTCTTTCAACCATAGAAAAAATACATGTGTTATTACTTGTTTCCTTTCTATCGTCTCTCCAGACTGAGTCTGTGTAACCTCTTAGGGCAAAGCTGTGATCATGTTTGGTCTGTATTTCATTCTATTCTATTTCTATTCAATTAAATTTTATTTATATAGCGCCAAATCACAACAACAGTTATCTCACAGCGCTTTTCATAAAAGACTAGACCGTACTCTGTGATGTTATTTACAGAAGCCCAACAGTTCCCACCAAGAGCAGCACTAGGAGACAGAGGCAAGGAAAAACTTCCTTTAAGAGGCAGAAACCTCGAGCAGAACCATGGCTCAGGGTGGGCGGCCATCTGCCTCGACCGGTTGGGGGTGAAGGAGAGAGAGGAGAGAGAGAGAGAGAGAGGGCAAGAGAGGAACAGAGAGAAAAAGAAAGCGATGGAAGGAGAGAGAGAGGGGAGGGAGGCAGCCTACACAATATACACACAGAGGTACAGACAGTAAAGGTGATGTTGCTATAGACTAAATGACTAAATGAAAAATGGTGTAGATATGTGTAGTAGTGTTAATGATAACAATCGTAACATTAATGATTATAATAACAGTAATAACAGTAATTTTTTGGCAGGGCCCCAGAACAATAACTTCAGTTTAACATTAGAAAATTACAGGCCATCCAGGTTTTAACATCCTGAAGGCACATTTAACTGAGTATCATCTGCATAACAATCAAAGTTTATGGACTATTTCCTGATAATATTGCCTAAAGGAAGCATAAATAAAGTGAAGAGGATTGGTCCGAGGACAGATCCTTGAGGAACTCAATGAGTAACTTTGGCATGCATGGAGGACTCATCGTTAACATGTACAAACTGAAATCGATCTGATAAATAGGACTTAAACCAGCTTAGAGCGGTTCCTTTAATGCCAATGAAATGTTCCAGTCTCTGCAATAGGATCTGATGGTCAATGGTATCAAATGCAGCACTAAGATCTAATAAAACCAGTACAGAGACAAGTCCTTTGTCTGATGCAATAAGGAGGTTGTTAGTAATTTTCACCAGTGCTGTCTCTGTGCTATGATGAGCTCTAAATCCTGACTGAAAATCCTCAAATAAACTATTGCTCTGTAGAAAGTCACACAGCTGTTTAGCAACTGCTTTCTCCAGAACCTTAGAGAGAAATGGAAGGTTAGATATAGGTCTATAGTTGGCTAAAACATCCGGATCAAGTTTGGGCTTTTTCAGAAGAGGTTTAATTACAGCTACTTTAAAGTACTGTGGTACATAGCCTGTTGATAGAGATAGATTGATCATATCTAGTATAGAGGTGCTGACTAAGGGTAAAACTTCTTTAAGCAGCCTAGTCGGGATGGGGTCTAAGAGGCAGGTTGATGGTTTAGATGAAGAAATTATTGAAGTTAGTTGGTAAAGTTTGAGGGAGGCAAAGCAGTCTAAACATGTATCTGGTTCTACAGCTGTTTCTAAGGTTCCTGAGTTTAGAGATAAGTCGGTGCCAATTGAGGGCAGGTCTTGGTGAATTTTGTCTCTAATAGCTAGATTTTATCATTAAAGAAGCTCATGAAATCGTAACTACTGAGAGCTATGGGAATACTGGGCTCAATAGAGCTGCGACTCTCTGTCAGCCTGGCTACAGTGCTGAAAAGAAACCTGGGGTTGTTCCTATTTTCCTCTATTAATGACGAGTAGTACGCTGCTCTGGCATTACGGAGGACCTTCCTATAAGTTAGACTATCTTGCCAAATTAAACGAGAATTTTCCACTTTGGTGGAACGCCAATTCCTCTCAAGTTTCCGCGATATTTGCTTTAATTTGCGAGTTTCAGTATTATACCATGGAGCTAACCGTCTTTGTTTTAGTATTTTCTTTTTTAGAGGGGCTACAGAGTCGAGTGTCATTCGCAGCGAGCCTGCAGCAATATCAACAAGATGATCGATTTGGGAGGGACTGAAATTAGCATAGGAGTCCTCCGTTACTTTGTGACTTGATAATGAATTTAGAGCTGATTGAATCGCATCCTTAAATTTAGCTATAGCACTATCAGACAGACATCTTGTATAGAAATTTTTACCTAATGGCGTGTAGTTCAGCAATACAAACTCAAAAGTTATCAAACAGTGGTCAGATAAAGAGGGATTCTGTGGGAACACTATTAAATGTTCAATTTAAATACCATATATCAGAACAAGGTTGAGGGTGTGGTTAAAACAGTGAGTCGGTTCATGAACACTCTGAGAGAAGCCAATGGAATCTAACAGAGAGATAAACGCAGTACTGAAGCTGTCATTCTCTACGTCCACATGAATATTAAAATCCCCTACAATAATAACTTTGTCCGTTTTAAGGACTAAAGTTGACAAAAAAGCTGACCAGGTGCTCGGTAAACTATAACAAAAGAATTGGTTGCAGTGATTTCCAACTTAGGTGCAAAAGACTAAGAACAAGACTTTCAAATGAGTTATAGTTTAGTTTAGGTTTAGAGCTGATTAGTAGGCTAGAGTCGAAGATAGCTGCAACTCCACCTCCTCGGCCTGTGCCTCGAGGAATGTGAGTATTAATATTACTGGGAGGGGTGGATTCATTTAGGCTAACATATTCTCCATCACCCAGCCAGGTGATTCAGATAATTCAGATTCACATATTGTTCATCACGAAATAAGAACTTTGACAGAGATCGAGATCCTTATTTATGTTTTGATATCATGTCATTTTAATTAGTGGTGGTCTGTTTATTCCTAATTCCATCATGATTAGTTACCATGTCTTCAATGTTAAAAGTAAAAAAACAAGGATTTTAACATGTGCTGAGAAGAGATTATATACTGTATACTAGAAGCTTTTACTGCTGTAATCGACGTTCAAATCAGTATTATTATCAATAGTTTATGCATTACCCTGAAATCCAAATAGCCCATGAAGTAAGAAAATAGTAATCTTATTTACTTTAAACAGTCAATGGGCCGCTGGGGAATCAGAGAGACAGTTGATGTGAACGCTACTTAAGTTGACATCATCTCTTTTTATTATTTATTTATATTTATAATATTATATTATGTTATTTAATGCTGAAATTCAACTGTGGTGTTCTTTTGGGAAATGCAGTAACTTAAATCAATGTTGAGTCAGTGTACCTCCCAGCAGTATAAATAAAATGTAATTGTCAAGTTACGAGTAGAGGAAATGTCTGCTAGTCACTAGGCTAAGTGATGCAGTCTGAAAACCCTATTGTTTTGTCTATGAACCTTGACAGTTAGCCCTACTGTATACTGTAGTACCAAAATGACACCAATGTTATTTTATTGTTTCTTCTCCAGACTGAGTGGCTGTAGCCTCTCAGAGAGAAGCTGTAAAGCTCTCTCCTCAGTTCTCAGCTCCCAGTCCTCTAGTCTGAGAGAGCTGGACCTGAGTAACAACAACGTGCAGGATTCAGGAGTGAAGCTGCTGTCTGATGGGCTGGAGAGTCCACACTGTACACTGGAAACCCTCAGGTAAGGATTTATTATCACATTCAATTGATGACCATTTAACGTTTTCTTCACAGGTCACAAGTCACATTTGTCTTTTGTGAGTGCACACAGAACTCTGCTCAAAGTACATGTCTTTATTCCCCCTTCTTGACAAAAGCTTCACTCTCCATAAATAAATTTTAATATTTTTAGCAGCATGGCTCTATGGATATAATGTGTGTCTGTCCAACACATTCTCACTCCCAACTCGTCACATATTTACACTTGGTCAAGACCCCTTGGTGTTGCTTTTTAATCCCCTGGGTGATGTAGGGCTCGGCGGTTAAGTTAGCAACAATAAGTTTGCCAGGCCTGGTCAAGTTAGCAGCAATAAAGATGCAACGTCCGGTTAGACTACAAATAAAACAAGTGTGAAATAGAATGTGGTTAATGTTGTGAAATGTTGCAGTTTCATTAGGTTTAGGCACTAAAACTACTTCAGGTGTAGGAAAAGATCATGGTTAAAATAAGTATGTTACTTACTAGTATGACTTAATTTACATAAACTATGAAACGTAAAACGTAAACATGCTGGTCTGTTAGACTGAAAACATTTCAAAAACTGCTGGGTGGATTGTGCTGAAATATGGCTCAGACCTTCATGTTCCCCTTAGGATGAACTGTAATAACTTTGGTCATCCTCTGACTTTTCATCTAGCGCCAACAACAGCATCAACATGTTAATGTGTTGGTTTATGACCAAATACCTGCATAACTAAGGTCTTTCCCATTAATTCAATTTCAATTCAATTTTATTTATATAGCGCCAAATCACAACAACAGTTATCTCACAGCGCTTTTCATAAAAGAGCAGGTCTAGACCGTACTCTATGATGATATTTACAGAAGCCCAACAGTTCCCACCAAGAGCAGCACTAGGAGACAGAGGCAAGGAAAAACTTCCTTTAAGAGGCAGAAACCTCGAGCAGAACCATGACTCAGGGTGGGCGGCCGAGAGAGAGAGAGAGATACACGACGAGAGAGAGAGAGAGAAAGAGAGGGAGAGAGAGAGAGGGAGAAAGAGAGAGACACGACGAGAGAGAGAGAGAGAGAGAGAGAGAGAGAAAGAGAGAGAGAAAGAGAGGGAGAGAGAGAGAGGGAGAAAGAGAGACACGACGAGAGAGAGAGAGAGAGAGAGAGAGAGAAAGAGAGAGAGAAGAGAGGGAGAGAGAGAGAGGGAGAAAGAGAGAGACACGACGAGAGAGAGAGAGGAAGAGAGACACGACGAGAGAGAGAGGGAGAGAGAGAGAGAGAGAGAGAGAGACGAGAGAGAGAGAGAGAGAGAGAGAGGAGAGAGAGAGAGAGAGCCTACACAATATACACACAGAGGTACAGACAGTGAAGGTAATGTTGCTATAGACTAAATGAAAAATGGTACAGATATTTATAATAGTGTTAATGGTAACATCGTAATGTTAATGATTATAATAACAATAATAATAATAGACTAGCAACAATAGTCGTTGCAGCAGAGGGTGTCGAGCAGGAACACGGGGGCAGCAGGTGACCCGCAACCACAGATCCAGACTCCACAGCTCCAGAGCCAGAAACACTGCAGGAAGTGATAGGAGAGAGGAGAGAGACGAGAAAGCACAAGACTACCAGAAAGGGGAGAAGTTGTGTTAGTAACATGCAATAATGGGATGAGGTTGCATACAGAGGGAGAGAAAGTAGAGGAGAGAGGAGCTCAGTGCATCATGGGAAATCCCCCGGCAGTCTAGGCCTATAGCAGCATAACTAAGGGATGGTTCAGGACTACCTGAGCCAGCCCTAACTATAAGCTTTATCAAAGAGGAAAGTCTTAAGCCTACTCTTAAATGTGGAGATGGTGTCTGCCTCCTGAACCCAAACTGGAACCTGGTTCCACAGGAGAGGAGCTTGATAGCTGAACGCTCTGGCTCCTAGTCTACTTTTGGAGACTCTAGGAACCACAAGTAACCCTGCATTCTGGGAGCGCAGTGCTCTGGTGGGGTAGTAAGGTACTATGAGCTCTTTAAGATAAGATGGTGCCTGACCATTAAGAGCTTTGTAGGTAAGAAGAATGATTTTAAATTCTATTCTGGATTTTACTGGAAGCCAATGCAAGAAGCTAAGACAGGAGAAATGTGATCTCTTTTCCTGGTTCCTGTCAGAACACGTGCTGCAGCATTCTGGATCAGCTGAAGAGTCTTAATGGACTTTTTCGAGCAGCCTGATAATAAGGAATTGCAGTAATCCAGCCTAGAAGTAACAAATGCATGGACTAGTTTTTCTGCATCATTTTTAGACAGGATGTTCCTGATTTTCGCAATATTACGTAGGTGAAAAAAGGCGGTCCTTGAAATTTGCTTAATGTGAGACTTAAACGACATGTCCTGATCAAAGATAACTCCAAGATTCCTCACAGTGGTGCTGGAGGCCAAGGCGATGCCATCCAGGGAAACTATATCTTTAGATAATGCGTCACGGAGGTGCTTAGGCCCCAGAGCAATAACTTCAGTTTTATCTGAGTTTAAATGAGAAAATTACAGGTCATCCAGGTTTTAACATCCTGAAGGCACATTTGAAGTTTAGCTAACTGATGAGTTTCATCTGGCTTGATCGATAGATATAACTGAGTATCATCTGCATAACAATGAAAGCTTATGGAATGTTTCCTGATAATATTGCCTAAAGGAAGCATATATAAAGTGAAGAGGATTGGTCCAAGGACAGATCCTTGAGGAACTCCATGAGTAACTTTGGCGTGCATGGAGGACTCATCGTTAACATGTACAAACTGAAATCGATCTGATAAATAGGACTTAAACCAGCTTAGAGCGGTTCCTTTAATGCCAATGAAATGTTCCAGTCTCTGCAATAGGATCTGATGGTCAATGGTATCAAATGCAGCACTAAGATCTAATAAAACCAGTACAGAGACAAGTCCTTTGTCTGATGCAATAAGGAGGTCATTAGTAATTTTCACCAGTGCTGTCTCTGTGCTATGATGAGCTCTAAATCCTGACTGAAAATCCTCAAATAAACTATTGCTCTGTAGAAAGTCACACAGCTGTTTAGCAACTGCTTTCTCCAGAACCTTAGAGAGAAATGGAAGGTTAGATATAGGTCTATAGTTGGCTAAAACATCCGGATCAAGTTTGGGCTTTTTCAGAAGAGGTTTAATTACAGCTACTTTAAAGTACTGTGGTACATAGCCTGTTGATAAAGATAGATTGATCATATCTAGTATAGAGGTGCTGACTAAGGGTAAAACATCTTTAAGCAGCCTAGTCGGGATGGGGTCTAAGAGGCAGGTTGATGGTTTAGATGAAGAAATTATTGAAGTTAGTTGGTAAATTGAGGGAGCAAAGCAGTCTAAACATATATCTGGTTCTACAGCTGTTTCTAAGGTTCCTGAGTTAAGAGATAAGTCGGTGCCAATTGAGGGCAGGTCTTGGTGAATTTTGTCTCTAATAGCTAGAATTTTATCATTAAAGAAGCTCGAAGTCGTAACTACTGAGAGCTATGGGAATACCTGGCTCAATAGAGCTATGACTCTCTGTCAGCCTGGCTACAGTGCTGAAAAGAAACCTGGGGTTGTTCCTATTTTCCTCTATTAATGACTAGTAGTACGCTGCTCTGGCATTACGGAGGGCCTCCTATAAGTTTTAAGACTATCTTGCCAAATTAAACGAGAATTTTCCACTTTGGTGGAACGCCAATTCCTCTCAAGTTTCCGCGATATTTGCTTTAATTTGCGAGTTTCAGTATTATACCATGGAGCTAACCGTCTTTGTTTTAGTATTTTCTTTTTTAGAGGGGCTACAGAGTCGAGTGTCATTCGCAGCGAGCCTGCAGCACTATCAACAAGATGATCGATTTGGGAGGGACTGAAATTAGCATAGGAGTCCTCCGTTACTTTGTGACTGATAATGAATTTAGAGCTGATGGAATCGCATCCTTAAATTTAGCTACAGCACTATCAGACAGACATCTTGTAGTTCAGCAATACAAACTCAAAAGTTATCAAACAGTGGTCGGATAAAGAGGGATTCTGTGGGAACACCACTAAATGTTCAATTTCAATACCATACACCAAAACAAGGTCGAGGGTGTGGTTAAAACAGTGAGTCGGTTCATGAACACTCTGAGAGAAGCCAATGGAATCTAACAGAGAGATAAACGCAGTACTAAAGCTGTCATTCTCAACATCCACATGAATATTAAAATCCCTACAATAATAACTTTGTCCGTTTTAAGGACTAAAGTTGACAAAAACTCTGCAAATTCAGATAAGAATTCAGAATACGGGCCAGGTGCTCGGTACACTATAACAAAAAGAATTGGTTGCAGTGATTTCCAACTTGGGTGCGAAAGACCAAGAACAAGACTTTCAAATGAGTTATAGTTTAGTTTAGGTTTAGAGCTGATTAGTAGGCTAGAGTCGAAGATAGCTGCAACTCCACCTCCTCGGCCTGTGCCTCGAGGAATGTGAGTATTAATATGACTGGGAGGGGTGGATTCATTTAGGCTAACATATTCTCCATCACCCAGCCAGGTTTCAGTAAGACCAAATAAATCAATATCATAATCTGATATTAGTTCATTTACTAGTACACCTTTAGAAGAGAGAGATCTGATGTTTAAGAGTCCACATTTAACTCTCCTATTCGTTTGCACTATTGCTCTTGTGGTTTTAATTTTTATGAGGTTTTTATGCACAGCTCCTCTTCTGTTTACCTTTTTAAATAATTTCGATGGTCGGGGGCAGACACCGTCACTATAGGATTTTCACTAAGTAACTCCTGAAATGGAGGAGCAGAGAAGTGTGTTAGACTGCGACTCTGCGTAGGGTTTTGGGTGGGTAACTGCTGAAAAAGAAGGGCAGAGAAGTGTGTTAAACTGCGACTCTGCCTCCTGGTCTCAACTCTGGGTTGTCATGGATTTGGTCCACTAATAAACTTGGCCAGATTTCTAGAAATGAGAGCTGCTCCTTCCCAAGTGGGATGGATGCCGTCTCTCCGGATCAGACCAGGTCTTCCCCAGAAAGTCTGCCAATGATCAACAAAGCCCACATCGTTTGCTGGACACCACCTCGACAACCAGCGGCGGAATGACGACATGCGGCTATACATGTCATCACTGGTCAGATTTGGCAGGGGTCCAGAGAAAACTACGGTGTCCGACATTGTTTTTGCATATGTACACACCGACTCAACATTAATCTTAGTGACCTCCGATTGTCTATAAATAAACTACACTTATTACATGTACCATTACCGCTAAAGGAGGCAGAGGAGTAACTAAACATCTGACACACGAGCAGGAGAAAGTGGAGAGAGAGAGGGAGAAGGAGAAGCCATCGCTAGCTGCTAAGCTAAAGTCGCTAACGGCTAAGCTAAAGTACTGTAGCGTCAGCTACCAAAACTTTAGAACAACTATGAGATTGAACAGCAGTCACTAAAAGATGGAAAGAACTGTGAGTGCTTAGGCAAAATTACTGTAAAGAATAAGTGTTTAGCGAACAGTTGGCCGCTGTAATCAAACAAATGTAACTGTTATTTAGCGAGAGCAGCACAACACGGTACCAACACACAAGCACCGGAAACGGAAATGAGTCGACACGCTTACCGCAATACGTCAGCAGTCAGGGAGCAGATGCACAGAATGCCCAAAAAGTGAAAAAAATAAAAATATTTAGCCTCAGCTTAACTTAGAATTTATTGCTAATTTGCAAAATAACAAATTACATTATACCTGCTAAACATGACCAGGCATTATCATTGTGAGCACATACCATTTAGCAACTACAGCATCACAGAGCTGCTAGTATGGCTCTAGACTCTAACATTTAGATCAGAGTGACAGGGTTACAGTTAACTCCCTGAGTCAGTCACTGTATTATATTTTTATTTGGAGACTGTTTCCTCCTGTATCTGACCGAAACAGCTGGACTCTCAGATCATCTGCCATTATGTAGTTTTGTTTGTTTGTAGGCTGTCAGGTTGTGAGATCACAGAGGAAGGTTGTGCTTCCCTGGCCTCAGCCCTGACCTCCAACCCCTCACATCTGAGAGAGCTGGACCTGAGCTACAATCATTTAGGAGACTCAGGAGTGAAGCAGAAGGATTCATACTGGAAACTGGAAACTCTCAGGTATGAAGAGGCCTGCTGCATCTACAGTCTGATAGAGGAGGTACTTTTGGTTAATGGTGGATATGAGAGTTACTTGACCAGTGACACATGCAGGAACACTTTTTCCTTTGCTCAGAACAGAAACACTGTTTGTTCAAACACTGTTTCTAAAAGGAGATCTTTGAGTAGGAGGTCTCCAATGACAACATCTCCAGGAACAAACATAATTATTCTGTGTTGGTAATAGCAGATGCAGTTTGGAGAGATCTCTAGTTTTTAAAGGTACAAGATGTAAGAATTTAAATATTTTGTTTTAGTTTCTTTTGGTTTAACACATTCAAAAATGTGCTAAAATCATTGACAGAATGAGAAGAAAAAGCACTTCTGATGTTGACAAAGATGTCTTTGTATTGTGTATTATGCTAACCTGCTAGCCACGGCCTGTCCTGTGTTGTTATACCATTTTGTACCTTAAGAGGAGATAGTCTAGCTCATGTCTCCATCCCATACTTTCAGCTTGGAGATGTGTGAGAGTGGCGAGTTCACTCAAAAAAAAATTATCATGAATGGAAATATCATCATAGCATTTTGTAATTAAACTGTAAACTTTCAGAATTCAAGCTTCTCACTTCTATTGAACTACAACCTGCTTAATATACAATACACTTTATTTAAACAGAAACAAAATAAAACTCACCCAAAATGTCTTGGTAATGACCGGCTCTAGTTTGGAGGAAATAAAATGTTAAATGTTAAAGGCTATTTTCGATATTTTAATCTAGGGCCCTGTTTTCACATTGAAATGACTAGTAGGCTGTGGAGGACTGGCTGCAAGAAGCAAGAGTTACGCGTGAAGAGAGGAAGAATGGACAATGCCAATCCAAACCAATTATAGTTTTAGGTTGAAGGGGTGGCAATCAAGGGAGTCCTGGCACCAACACTAAAGTTCCAGCTCTTTTTACAGATGTTCCTGGACTTACATTTGGACATATTGTGTTTGTCAAAGTAGTTTTCCCCAAACTGTCATTAATTTTTGCTTTAATGGTTTCAAACATGAAATGTGCAGCACAGTGGAGACAGAAGTGATCCTGACAGTAATTATTACTGCTGTAATATACATCATAGAGATCAGTTCAACAACAATCTATACACATAGACATTAAATGTTGCTGTTTCTATCAGAAAGAGGTTTTCTGACACTTTAGATGATCAAAAAAGAGTTTTTTGTTTGCAGATGTTTTCCTCCTCTTTCACACACCAACATCCTGTGGGTCAGTCTCAGTGTGCGAGAAGAGTAGCAGAGGTAAAGAGGTTTAGGGCTATCAGGGAGAAGCAGGCCACATGCACATATTATGTATATAGTATGAGAGGAATGTAACGTCCATGTTTGATGCTGCTCTGACCCCCCTCCTCCTTTCAGGGTGGAGCCTGCTGGAGTCCGATGGTTGAGACCAGGTCTGAGGAAGTGTAAGTGTGTTTTTCATTTGATTCATGAAAACATTCAACCATCTTCAGACTGTGACATCACTCATTCAAAGTGCCAATCAATGAACAGATGATAGATCAATAACTGCAGCTGGATTGTGTCTCGTTCTCTCATCAGATTCCTGTGAACTCACAATCGACACAAACACAGTAAACAGAGAGATCAAACTGTCTGACAACAACAGGAAGGCGACACTTGTGAAGGAGGATCAGTCATATCCTGATCATCCAGACAGGTTTGACTGCTGTCCTCAGCTGCTGTGTAGAGATGGTCTGACTGGTCGCTGTTACTGGGAGGTCGAGTGGAGAGGAAGAGTTGAAATATCAGTGAGTTACAGAGGAATCAGCAGGAGAGGAGACAGAGAAGACTGTATATTTGGATTGAATGCTCAGTCTTGGAATCTGGTCTGCTCTGATGATGGTTACTCTGTCTGGCACAATAAGAGTGCAATTTCCCCTTCCTCCTCTTCCTCCTCCTCCTCCTCCTCTCCCCCCTCTGGTAGAGTAGCAGTGTATGTGGACTGTCCTGCTGGCTCTCTGTCCTTCTACAGAGTCTCCTCTGACACACTGATCCACCTCCACACCTTCAACACATTCACTGAACCTCTTTATCCTGGCTTTGCGTTCAGGGTCTCTTTATGTTCCTCAGTGTCTCTGTGTTCTTTGTAGGAGGGAGAGTCTCCTCCTGTTAAGCCTAGTATACACTGTACGATTTTAGAAACTTTGTACACTGCACTTAAGATTGCTTGAAAGCTCGAGGCAGGAAGAGGTGTCTTTGCTAGCCATAATGCTAACAAGTCAGAAATGTGTTGCCTTGATCATCTGTGCCATCCTGTGTGACATAACTTCTAAAAAAAGAGTGGTCTGGTGTATATGACAGCCAACCGGAGCAGATGATTCTCAGTGCCCCCTGTACACTGCACAGCAAAAAACGTCCAATGAAGCTGAAATTCAGGGGAAAAATTTTCCAAAGTTAGGTCATAAACAGTCTCAAATTGTAGAATGTATGCCCAGAGAAATATTCTCACTGCTGAACAGATCAGTTAAGTCTGTACAGAATCCCAGCTCTACAGAGCCCTTAAGGAAGCAGTGGCCGGATGTTTTTGGAGATACTACCTTGTTCTCACGTTTTGAATAAATTGTGGCCATGAGATACTACTCATTCTGGACAGCACCGTGTATTTACAAACCTCCAAACCAGCCAGTATATATTATATACAGTATAGTTTCATTTTATTAGTTTTTTATTTATATTTTATATTACCGTATTTGAATACACACTACATTTAATTATATGTTAAGTTCTATGTGTAGCAAGGGCAGACTAGGGGGAAAAAAAACAAGAAATTTGTCACAAGCGCTGGGTCTTTATAGTAGTGATGGCAAGTTCGACTCTTTCTCGTTCATTAAAATGAACTAATCTTTTTTTGTGTCATTTCATTCATTTTGTTGAACTAGGCTGGTTATTGTGGCGCAGAAGCCTTCTAGTAGCCCATTTAAAGGGAGCACCGTTCTCAAACACGGAAGGCTGCCTGGCTTGCTTTAATTGACAAAGTTTAATGCACAAATTTGCCTCTTGATAACTCTCAATCATTATTATATACACCCCTTGGGCCCACAACCAAATTCAAACCATGTGAAAACTACAGAAATATGTTGTCTATATGCATTCACCACTACTCCGGCTAAATCCTTCCATTCTGCAACAGCCTTTTCACCTGTTTAACCCAAAAATCTATTGATCCAGACTGTCCAGAACTCAGCTGCCAGGCTTTTAACCAGAACAAAGAAATATGACCACATTACTCCTGTTTTAGCTTCATTACACTGGCTCCCAGTGTGTTTTAGAATTGACTTTAAAATTCTATTGATCACTTTTAAAGCTCTTCATGGCCTCTCGCCTTGTTATATTTCTGACCTTTTAGTCCCATACGCACCAGCACGTACCTTGAGATCCTCGGGCAGAGGTCTGTTGTCTGTTCCAGAGTCTCGACTGAAAACTAAAGGGGACAGAGCGTTTGCTGTCAGGGCCCCGAGGCTCTGGAACAGCCTGCCCGAGGAAATCAGGTCGGCTGAGTCAGTGAACTCTTTTAAGTCCCTTCTTAAAACATACTTTATAGGAGAGCTTTTCCCGATCTTATTTGACTTTATTTTATCCCTTTTATTGTATTTTACTAATTTTATATTTATCTTAAACATGTATTTTAGTCTTTTAAATGTTTTCATGCTTTTATCTTGTATTGTTTTTGGATTATTGTCTCTTGGGTATTATTGTCTTTACACTTGTTAAAGCACTTTGTAACTTGTTTTTGAAAAGTGCTCTACAAATAAAGATTATTATTATTATTTTCACAATCTTTCTGGAGTATACAATTATGTATGTATGATTATGTATATAATTACTATCTTTATCTCAAGTGCTCATTCATACAGCAGCCTAACGTCCCTATCCATGAGTAAAATATTAATATCAGATTTGCATATATAGAAGTAATAAGCTTGATACACTATATGAATAAACACACTCTTATTAAAATTCAACCAATTTAATAATAATCTGGATCAAGCCACCAAGTTCTTAAAAGAACTCCAGCACAGAGAGGAACAGAGAAATATTAACACATTTGGCAGGTCTGGACGCAGAATGGGCGAAATCGTGAACTTATCAGTTCTGTTTCCTGTGCTGCCTGCTTACCACTGCCCTGTAGCCGAGCTGTCACATGACAAATGAACGACTCAAACAGACCCACAATTTAGAGTCGTGAACTAATCAATTCTGTTTCCTGTGCTGACTGAGCCCATGCAGCTGACGTATGACGAGTGAACGCATCTTTCACGTATGCGTGAAAATGAACGAATTACTCACTGAGACAACCCGAGTTTGGAGACAACACAACTTTAGAGACTAGAGAATTTTAGACAAGTATAATACATAACGCAATGAGCCGTTAAAATACATTTTCAAAACTAGAAACAAGTAAAAGATAATGTTACAGACAGAAACATATGTGAATTACGCTCTAGTTAAAAAAAAATTCAGTGTGAACATTAATATAATGATAAATGATATATTTAGTCATATTGGAAGAGGGATTGGGCAGTATTTATTTGCACATGATGGGGCCATTTTGAAACGAGGTAGAAACACAGAGTTTATTTTAAAACAAATGCAAAGGGTTTTAGTAACTGTGGAGGACTGGGCAGATAAATGGGGATTTAAAGTCTAAATTTATGATATTTGGCAGAGAAAGGTACCAGATTTTGGATTATGTATGTAAAGTTCCCCTTTAGAGAGAGTGAAAGTTAAAATTTTTGGGTGTCTGTTTTGACAAACGAATAACTTGGGCTGTTCTTGTTAGGAACATATTGTCAAAATGTGACAAGGTGTTAAATATAATGAGAAGTCTGGCGGGATGTGACTGGGGGGGCAGAGAAGGTTTCCATGCATTTAGTATATCAGGCAACGGTAAGACCTCTAATTGATTATGGGTGCTTTGTTTATGGTTCTGCAGCCCAGTTGGTGTTAGAAGGAAGTTAGACACTCTGCAGGTTAAGACTCTGTTGTGGAGCTCCCAGGACATCTCCAATTCCTGCTCTGCTTATTGAAATGGGTGAAATGCCCTTATGTTTAAGGCATATTAAGTTGGGAATGCAGTATTGGGTCAAATTGAGTGAGTCTATGCAAGGATCGTTGGACTCTGGCAGAAACAAATCATTTTTTGGTTTGGTTTTCGGGTGTATATAGCTCAACTGGACCTTAGGATTAGCAAGAGAATTACAAACGGAAGTTCTGTATTTACAACAGAGCTACTGGCAATTCTTTGGGCTCTGTGGTGGATTGAGGACGTGAAAATAAGAAAATCTGCTCTGATTCTGCAGCTGCCCTGAAGGCCGTGAAAGGCGGTAAAGCAAAAGCCCGTCCTATAAGTGAAATTCTAGCTGTATTATTAAGAATTACAGAGATTGGTAGTAATGTGATGTTCTGCTGGGTCCCTGGGTATCCTTGAGTATGAATGAAGTAGCAGACTGTTTAGCAAAATCAAGTTATAAGTTAGAGACAGATATATTATATCAATGGGAAGCGTGGAACTAAAAGAAAAAATTAAACCGAGTATTGAAAGGGAATGGCAAATATTGTGGGACAATGAGACCAAGGGGAGACATTACTACTTTTTGCAATCTGAGGTTAAAAAAGTCAGGCACTGTTATGGATCCAGAAGAGATTCTGTTAAAATCTGTAGGTTAAGACTCGCTTTGTGGGTTGAATAAGTCCTTATATGTCATTGGAAAGCATCTTAGTGGGAACTCTGAAACAGTGGAACATGTTTTGCTGAAATGTAACACTATAATATAGAAAGGAGCCTTTTATTCAAGAGATTATAACATTTGGGAGTTCTGTCATTCTCAGTTAAATCTATATTGGGTCAAAATGAAAACCACCACCTGATTATCAAAGTATTATTACAGTTCTTACACAATACAGGGTTAAAAAAAAAAACGAAGCAATAACGTTTTCATTATAGTGACTTCCTGAGGAGGGCAGTGATACAAAGAAGGAAAACTTCCGGTGGCTAACATGCTAACTTTTCCTTTCGTTACCGTGAGATGCAGCCGGAGTTCAGCAGCAGAGCCTGCATGTGAGGATCAACGTGTTTAAGTGGACTCTGTTTAAACTTTCGGGATGTTTCACCTCAGACTCATCTCCTGTTAGCCAAGAATGCTAAAGGAAGTTAGCTTGTTAGCAGGAAGTAGCCGGAGCCGGAGCTCGGCCTCACAGTCGGAGCAGCTTCCATAGAGACCAAACTGTATTTTTCACGGAGCCCAAATGTCCAAATGTCCAGATAGAGCTGTCTGAATAGACTCTGTGCTGTTCCCTTTATCTGAACATGTTTAACATCTGAATTATCTCCCGCTGTCCTACGAAGCTAATGCAGTTAGCTTAGCTTGCTAGCTGGAAAGCTGGAAAAGCTGCTGTGAATCAGTAAAAATGTCTAAAGTGGAGAACGAGGAGGAACTTTGTGGACAACGCAAACTACTGGACGCTGTTTTCAAGCCTGGAGCAGGTTTGTACTTTATTCTGTCCTCCCAAATGTTTCATCTTGCTGACAGCGCTGCGGGCTCGCTGTGAATTGACTCTGTTGTTGTTTAAAAGGAGATAATAAAACAAAGAAGTTTAGCTCCGTGGTAAAACAGTTAGATTAGATTCAACTTTATGGTCATTGCGCATGTCACTGGAACAAAGCAACGAAAGCAGATAGCAAGTGCAAGATATGAATGATATATAAATATATGTATTGAAACAAGACATTTTCTGAGCACAGCAACAACAATCAGGTGCAGGTAGACAGCAGGATAAGTCTGAAAAAAAAAAAGTCTCACACAGTGAAATTAAAAAACACTTACAGGTGTGCTAAGTAGACCCTGTGCAGGTCATGAGGCCAGCACAATCCATTTTTATCTTTCTCATATACATATATAAAATCAACATCTTATACAAAGTATTATAAACGGCAAGAATGTGTAATTATCCAAACAGATCAAACAAACATCACAATATATATTAATTTAAAAATGAAACATACATAAGTCGCAAGAATTACAACATTATAGGAACTCATAAGTATAAGGCAAAATGGGCTGACGCTCCTACCTCTATCGTATATTCCTAAAAGGGAGGGTAGGACATTCAGTATCTAAACTCAGAAATAGACATAATAATCAGCATTACAGGAATGGGCTCAAATCTAGTCTCTCATTCAGTCCACGAGGTTCAATTCATGAATCCAAAAAGCTTCCCTTCTCAAAACTGGTTAATCAAGTTACCCCCTCTTGGATTAGGACTCAATCTTTTAATGCTAAATATATATATACATGAATATCTA